CCTCCATGTCCTTCCTGAGCTGAGGGTCCAGAATTGGACACAGCACTCCAGGGGTGGCCTCACCAGCGCTGAGTCCAGGGGAATGTGTAGACTGAATGGACTCTGAGGTCTCTGGGGTTGCACCAGGGTCTTTTGGCTGTTTTTAAGGTGAAGTGGCTCATCCTGTCCACTAAAGATGAAAGTGGCATCAGGCAGAGCACAATAATTATCAGCGAATGCAGAGAAACTCAAGGGAGACACAGAGCAAGTGAGCTTTAAACACTGCTGGGAAGATGTGCTGCAGGCTGGGAGCTGGACAGCTGGGCTCCAGCCTGAGATGGTCCAACCAGCTCCCAGAACTGAAAAGAAATTCATTCTGTTGGCTTCTGACTCGGGGGAAAGGGATGGAAGCTCAAAAAAAAAAAAAATAATGCTTTTTTCCCCTAAAGACTTGAGTAAAAAAAAAATCAAACCCACTGGTTTTTTGAGGAATCCACCTGCAGCAGGCCCTGAGGATTTCTCAGGGATGTGGAAGAACTTACAACTCCCTTGTGCAACTGGGAATTAAATGGTTTTGTTCTTACAGTGACACAGGAGCGTGTGGTGGCTTCATGATCTTGTGTGAATGGTCTGAGACAAGCTGCATGTGCAGAAAGAGCTCCAGGCAGTAAGTTGGGGGCACTTGGGCATGGTGATACCAGAGATTTGAGTGTAAAGGGTTGTTCTCTGGCTTGTGCCAGAGATCCCATTTTAGGACAGGCTGGACTAAACCTGAAAATCCTACATTCCTGTGCAAAACATGCAGAACCACCAGAGTTACTGCTGAGATTTCCACAGGAATTTCAAGGCAGCATCACAGCTGAAGTTTTGCAGGGGCAGGATGTTTAGTCCTAAGTTCCCTGACTGGCACCAGAACCCAGACTTAGGACCATGCTGAGACATGGGAAAGGTCTGAGAGGAGCTGGGCTGGTTTATAAAAGCATCTGTTGGAAAATCCAACTGCTGACCTGCCTCAGTTTGGCATTCAGGGAGTTCTAGGGAGAAGTCCTTCCATAAAGACACCACTGCTCTAATGTGGGGTTTGGAACTGGTGGGATTGTCCCCCAGAAAGTTCCCCCCCAACTCCTGGCAGTGCCAGGGAAGCACCAGCACCTTCTCCCCCTGACCAGTTACTGGGCACAGCCTGAAAGGTGGGACAGAAAGAGGTCAGAACTCAGGGCCTGTTTTATATCCCCTGCTCAATACCCCTTTGGAAAAGGGAAATCAGTTGGATCCCATCTGCTTCTGACCACCAGGAGGAAGGAAAGGCTGGCCAGGGCTGCTCCATACCTTCTCTTTATCACTTGCTTCCCTGGATACTGTTGAGCCCTGGTAAAAAAAAAAAAAGATGAAGAAAATATCATTACCACACTGTGTGTCATATTCCCAACAAATTCACTGACAACATGCAGAAAAATTATGGAAGCATTTTTAAAACGAGTGCTCAACCCCCTTTCCACGATCTCCCTGGTTTAGTGTAGGTCACTTGGGATGGGGGAATGCACCAACATTTGAGCCCCAGGTGATGCTCCACCCAAAGCCCCCAAAACCTGATCCCTGGAACAAAACCCAAAGCCCACGACCCTGCTGAGTGGGTGTTACAAAGCCCAGCTCCCAGCCCTCTGCAGGAGCTCCCAGCCCTCTGCAGGAGCTCCCAACCCTCTGCAGGAGCTCCCAGCCCCCTGCAGGAGCTCCCAGCCCTCTGGAGCCCTCCAAAGCCTCACCTTCAGGTCGTATTTCCTGTGCACAGTCAGCCTGTGGCTGAACACGTTCCTGGTGACCACCATGTAGGTCTCCACGCCGTCCACCGTGAGCCGGTACATGCCCAGGAACTGGGGCAGGAGGGTGTTCCCGTGGCACTCCACGATGAACTGCAGGACAGCAGGGGAGGGAAGGGGCAGAGAGGGACAGTTCTGTCACACAGACCCCACCTCTGACACCACACAAGCTCAGCAGGATGCTGAGAGTGACCCTCCAGTTCCAGCCCCCTGACACCGACGGGAAAGGAAAGGAGGCCTGAAACGTCCCCCGGGGTCCCAAGAAAAGGAGTCAAGGCATGGTAAGAACCTTCCAGCCCTCAGCTGAGACAGAGCATCCCATTCCCTGAGCAACCTGATCCAAGGAGTGGCATCCCTGCCCGTGGCAGGGGGTTGGAACTGGATGATCTTTCGGGTCCCTTCCAAACAAACCCATTCTGGCACTCTCTGACTGTGTGTGTGCCCAGCCTGCTGTGACAGCCAGGTGTGCCCTGGCACTGCCCAGCTTCCCTCCTCGTGGTTATCTCAGTGTACCTGACAGATGGGCTGGCACATAATGTGGACCAGGGCAGAACATTTCCAGCTGTCCCCCTTTGCCCCCCCTTCCCTGCTCCTCTCCAGTCCCTCTGGAAAGTCTAATGCAAAGGACTGAACTGGGAGCATGTTTACAGGTCTCAGGTACCAGCAATCCATAATTCATTGATGTCAGGAGCTGGGTGAGCTGTGAAGGGGCTCAGCAACACAAAGAAACAGGCAGCTGGGCCACATCTGGCTCTCAGATCCCAAGGAGCTCCGTTTTCTCCCACAAAACCTCTGCGGGAGCTCCGCCAGCTGCGAACCCGAGCTCCGGATCCCCGGCAGATCCCGGGGTGTTTGCAGCCCATCTCCCAGGGTTCCAGACTCACCGTACCTGGTGGTACTTCTTGAGGATGTTGTGCATCTCTGCCACGTCCTCGCTGGACACGGCCTTGATGACGAACCTCCTGTCGTAGGTGGTGAGGAAGCGGGCGCCGCAGCGGCCCTGGCTGTCGCTGTTCACGGGGGCACTGCGGGTCACCGAGTTCTGGGGGGGCAAGCACAGGGGCAGGGACTGGCAGGGGCTCTGCCACCTCCCTGGGGAAGGAAGGGCAGCCTTGGGAGGCGAGGTGGGACACGGGTGAGCAGGGCCAGCTCCTGGAACAGACACTCTGGGTGTGTTCCGTCCCCGTAACCGTGTGCTGGGCACGCTTTTTAAAAACCTGGACGGTTTTTAGGGCTTCCATCTGGGCCTTTTACCTGCTGACATGTTTTACTCCAACACCTGGCAGGTGTTTTTGAGGGCACTTTTTTTAGTAAAGACACAGAATCCACAGAGCTCTTGGCATGTCCTCGTGGAAATGGAACAACAGTCTGGGTATCCCTGGGGTTTAAGGAAAGCCAGAACAAAACGACTGAAATGGCCTGTTGCCTTTCCCATGGCAAAGCAGCTTAAACTGGCCAAAGTGGGAATTCTTTGCAGGTCATCCTGCAGCCAAAAGCCACCCTCAGCCCCTGCTATTCTTGCCATGGGACGTAAAAGATGGGAGTATAAATAGCCTGGTTGTTCTTCCGACAACCAGCAGCATCTGTCTTTATATCCCTGCCTCCACCCTTAGCAACGAGACATTGCAGCTCCCCTTCAGACTTGCAGCACGACTGGAAAATCCCAGGAAAACTGCACAGCGAGGATCTGCCACGCTCCCCGAGCCACGACACGAGCTCTTTGCTCTGCTGCCTCTCCCCAGGCAGCGGGAGCCTCATCCCTCAGTCAGAGCCACTGCTCTTCACACCTGCCAAGCCCAGCAGGTCACCTGTCTCCTGCTGGTCCCCTCCATCACTTCCAAGCTCCACCTTCCATCTCCACCCTGCCCAGTCACCAGCGTTTGCTCAGGAGCCATTTTATCAACCAGGAGCCTCCCACCAGCATTTCCCTGCCACAGGTCCAAGCAGGGAGTGCTCTGAAGCACAGCAGTGCAAACACCTGGATAATTTAGCCAGATGTAGATCCAGCACCTCAGGGCTGGACAATGTGTTTCAGGATGGATTATTTTTTTAGGTGACAGTCACACTGCTCTCTCCTCTCCCCTGAGCTCTGGAGAGCTGGCAGCAGAGGGAGCCTGCTCAGCTGCAGGCACAGACAGAGCCTGCTGTGAAAAAGGGATTTACCGTGTCACGCTGCAAGTGAGCCGAGAGGTTTCCTTTCAGAATGAAGCATTTAAAGCTTCTAAAACTTTAATGAAGCGGGGGGGAAAAAACTCCACCGCTGCCAACGGCTTTAGAAAGCGTCAGGAAAATAAAGGCAGAGGGAAAAAACCCCTTGTTTCTTGCTGACATTTGCAAGGGAGCCTGTGCTGCACAGTTTAATCAGGCCCTCACCTCAAAACCACAGAGCTTTTCTTCTGGAGCTGGGAAGCAGAAATCGTGACCACACAGAGCTTTACCAAACTCAGGGCCCTTCGGTTCCCTTCCTGTCCCTCCCACCTCTTCCACACTTGGGGTGTTTAATATTTAGTGTTCTGGCTCCATTCCCACTCAAGCCATCACATTTTACCCACCTTGAATTTAGGTCGATTAATATTTTCTTTTTAAGAAGCCAAACTACCCCAGAGGTGGGAGGAACAGTCCTTCAGGGCAGCAGGGGAAGTGTGAACCATGAAGCAGGCACTGAGAAGCAACAAGAGTGTTGGGCACACTCGGGGAGGGTGTGACAGAGACGGGTGTGACGGGGGCACACACACGGGACCAGAGGGAAGGGGTTTGGTGGGATCAGCAGGAACAGCCCTGCTCCCATCCCCTCTCCCCCCCAGGCAGTGCAGTGAAGGGCAGGACGCTCAGAGCACTCCCCCACGTGCCTCCCTGGCGGGCGGATCCCGGGGATATTCCAGCGGGTGCCCCGGGCCTGGCGCCGTGCCCGACCCGTCAGCGGCAGCGGGAGTTGAGGACACCGCTTTGATTCCCGGCCACCCCGGCCTGCCAAAGGCCACGCTGCCATCAAAGCCTCCCTCCCTCTGCACGGGCTGTCCCCTCGGTTCTGACATCCCCAGGCAGCCTCCTGCTCATCTCCTGCTCTGTGTGGAAGGGTGGCCCTGCTGCAGCAGCAGCAGCTGTGACATCTCTCTCTCTCTCTCCCCCTGGATTTAAGCCCCCCAAAAGCCTGTCCCCTCCAAGGCCTTAGGGGACGTGTCCCAGAGCAGAAGACACCCTGATACACCCAACTCAACAACACACACACTTGTGTGTTGCTTTACAGATTCACCTGAATCTGTAAAGCAACACCAGACTCATTTTCCTTGCAGATGTTCCTCACTGGATCTTTGTTATCCTCCAGCTCCTGCCTTTCCACTGTGGCTCCTATTTCATGGCTAGGTTTAAACTCCCCAGAGCAGGGACCATCTTCTCCTTCTCCTCTTGCCCAGTGCTTGGCACAGCAAGCTCTCCTGCACTGCTGTGGGCCCTTGGGTTACGGTAAAACCACTCAAACCACGATTACAAACCCAGAAAAGCTGATGATAACAATGTTTGTACCCTGGTTTCTCCACCAGTTTGGTTACTCTGTCCTAGGGAAGGGTGTCAGGAGGGCAGGGAGGGAAGAGCCGGTACCTGGTAGTCCTGATCATCGATCCCAAATCTTTCCCGGAGGTTCCGGAACACCAGTGGACAATACTCCTTAAATTTAAAGCGACTTGGCAAGTTCTCCCTGGGGCAGAAAAGATATTTGTGTGTAACAACCATCAGCTTGGTGAAATCAAACTCGATTTTTCTCCCGCTTCTCTGCCAACCCCCCAGGGATGTCCCACCCCCCTCCCACCTCCAAGGGCCCCACTCTGCAGGTATTTCCCCTCACTAGGGATGTCTGGATGCCTGCAAAAGCCATCTCTCCTGACTGACAGGCTGCCTGGGTGAGGATGCCTGTCCTGCAGAACAATCTCCTCTGTCACAAGCTCAGGATCATTTCTCTCTCTGCCCCTCCTTTGCTGCCTCGTGCTGTGCAGTCCCACAGCTGCCCCCTGCACGCTCTGTCACTGGGGAGGATGAAGAGCTGCAGGAGAAGGGGGGGGTGGGCTCTGATTTCAGATCCCATCAGATCACTCGTGTGTCAAAGGAAAGGTCAACGTGCCACAAACCCGGAGCACGGTGGGGAGAGAGGGGGAATCAGCTCCAGCCTGGCATGTTCCAGACTCAGCTTTGCTGCCAGGCTGCCCCCGAGCACAGGACAGTGGGAACACACAGCATTCCCTGTCCCTGAGAGCTGCATCTGCTCCCTGCCCTGCCCTGGTCCCGCCCAGAGAGGATGGTCCTGCTTGGACACGGCGGGAGATATTTTGGCAGCTCCTTGTCGGTGAGAATCCTCTGCACCAAAACGTGGGAAACGAAAATCTACGCAGGAGAAGAGGGAAGAGCAGATACTGCACGTTGTACGTGCCAGGGAAGACAAACTTTCCAATCACACTCCCACTCTCCAAAGCTGATCCCTGGGAAACTCAGTGAAAACAAAGGATTAATCAGGGAGTGCTGCAGCCCTGCTCTCACACAGAGCAAGGGTGGGGAACACGGCTCTGAGCACCAGCCACCACCAGGGCTCCAGAAAGGCTTCCAAAAACTGATCTTCTGGGAAAAGGAGATGGGAGTAGCTCCACAGACACCCCATGGGCCAGGGGCACAGCACAGCCTGAGGGCTGTCAACAGTCTTATCCCTCAAAGGATAGAAACCAAGCCACAAAAGAGCATCTCAGTGACAGGCTGACCCCTGCCATGTCCTGGTGAGGGCTCTGAAGAGGCCACAGGCTCAGGGCTTGTGTCCAGCCATGCCAGATCCTTTTGGAATTTTGGCTGGGAACAACCCAGAAGGCCTTCACCACCCCAGCTGCCCCACAGCAAAGAGCTCTCATTAGGGACCAAGAGGTTGGGAAGCACCCACTTACTTGTTGAATAGATGATTGTCCACCTTGATCTTACTGTAGGCTTTAAAGTCATCGGGCATCAACATGACAGGGACGGGGACATTGCTGAGCTCGTTGATCTGAAAGAGAAGGGGAAAGGAGACTCAAACCTCTGTTCCACTGCCCTGCAGGGACTGTCAGTGGACTTACAGGGATGCCAAACACCCCAGAGGCTGGTTTGGGAGCACTGGAACCTATCAGACTGGAGCAACTGTGGTTAAAAGCCACAGCACCCTCTCATTCCATCGAGTCCTCACCTCCTTCCATCCTTTCACCTTCCACTGACCATCCAAGACACAGCTGAGAACCCAGACAAACCTACAGACCGAGAAACAGCAGATTTTATGTTTTCACTAAGCCCCCTTTGCCTTTATTTAGGAAATGTTGCATCAGCCAGTTTCTTAACTAGTTCTCCCTGTCACAGATCACTGATGACCCAAGTCTTGGCTGTGGATGGATTCTGGGAGCTTTGGTGCAGCCCAGCACAGCTCCCCATGGATGCTGTTTCCATGCTTGCTGTCTCCTGTTGCTCTTATCCCACCTTCTCTGGAGGGATGAGTCACTCCACTAGATTGTTTTTGCTCCTTAGTCATGTGTGGCAGCCACAGGAACACAGGGAAGCAGAAGAATGAACGTTCAGCTACTATTGCACAGACAGCCTTGTGCTGCAGCACCCAGCAGTGACAGCACTAATAATAATAATTAAAGAACAACAGAAATCCACCTCTGGGCTGTGTCTGGCTGCCCTGCCCCACACAAGCCCGTGCACTGACAAGGCTGTGCCAGAATCAAGAGCAGGTCAAGAGGCACCGTGTTTCTGAGGGCCCTGGTGTCATCCACTCCAGGGACTCCAGAGCACTCCCATCTCACTGAGCTGCTATAAACAGCCTGGATTTAGGAAGTGATTTCATTCCAACTCTGTTCCCATAACTACTGTGCCAAGCAGGTAATGCTGGAGAGAGAGGCAGACAACACTGGCAACAGCAGGGTTTGGCTACGAGTCAGGCCTGGGGTCTGTTCCCAACACCAAAATCTTCCGCAGGTCAAGTGACTTCCAGCACGCTTGGAAAGCTGCTGGAAAAATTCCCTGCTGTCTGGGAACAGGGGCCAAGTCATCAGGCTGAGAGGGAAGGGACTCCAGCTCTGGGATTCCCCGTGCAACAGGACACACAGCGCTGCCCAAACTGCTGCCACATCCCTGCCCGACCCCGCGAGGACCACGGGATCCGGAGACGTGCCGTGAGCCATTTCCATGAGGTCCCTGTTTATCACCCCCTTTTCCCCCGTCACGAGAAACCAGACCAGATTTAACACACGTCAGACTGGAGAGAAAGACACATCCACAAAAAGAAGATGGCTATTTTCAGAGCCAGCCATCCCACACACCAGATATCAGTGGGAAGCAAACCGGCCACGGCTCCGTTGGGAGCAGAAAAGGGGCTCTGCACAGCCCTGCCCTGCTCTTCCTTAGGGCAGCACTAAGCACTCCCATAAAACTCTGGGATGTATGGAAAACACTGCACAGGGGAATGAATAAATAATGTCACCCCCTCACAGCATCAGCAATCCCCACGGAGCAGGGAGGGCAATGCCAAGGCTCAGTCCTGCACTGAGCTGCTCCCGGAGCCAGAGGCGAGGAACGGGAGGTTCCTCCAGGTGAGGAAGGGATCTCCCAGCTCCCAGCCACTGCAGGGAGCTCTATCCCAGTCCCACGCAGCGACTTCCCCTCGGGGTGAGGAGAAAACAACTCATTCTGTACCAAGGCAGAGGCGCTGCCTCCAGCCACTAATTATTGCTGTCTCCCAGGAGGGGAAGCCCGACGGCGCAGCTCCTGCCACACGCCTGCTCCCAGCCCTCTTCCCGGCTGGGGAAGGCACAAACAAGCCGTTATCAGCTCCTTCCCGAGCGGAGGAAGGGTGCTGACGGCTGAGAGGGAACAGCGACTCGGAGACTGTCTCCTCCCCGGCAGAGATTCCGACGCAAACGCTTCCCGGCGGCTCCGGGTGCCCTGGTTTCTGCCACGGCACAAACCTCAGAGCGAGCCTGGCACCTGTTGCCGCGCTGCTGACTGGCAGAAATGGTGCACCGGGATACCTTGTTTCCCTTCAGAGGTGCTCCCGCTCCTCCCGGGATGCAACAGCCACAAAAATTCCCCCCCACTACCCTGCAGAAGCTTTTCCTCCCTTCCAGCTGCGTAGGGATTTCTGGGTGCTTCGGGATTTCGGCTCCAGAGCAGACAGGGAGAAGGACAGGGTTTGTGCTGGGCACCAGAACCTGGATGAAGAGCTGGACTGGCCATTTCTGGTGCCAGCACTGCCCACCCGGTGGTCACTGGCCCTTTGCTCCTGACACCAACCTGGAAGCAAACATGGGTTTGTTTAGTTTATTTTTGCTGTCGTGTTAGGTTTGTTGGTTTTTTTTAAATTTGTTTGTTTTTTAAACACTTCGTGCTGCCACAGTAACACCCATGCTTGACACTTCCCAAAGGGAGAGAAATGAGAAGCCCCCACACACCACCCTGGAACGGGGATATCCCAAACCCTCCCTTCCCACAGCACAACCCTCAGCATCCAGTTCCCCTCCCTAAGGATTATCCAGCAGCAAGTGAACCACGAGGAGCCTGAAGGAGGGCCAGCACCCATCACCTCTCCGGAGGGATCCCTCTGCTCGGGCTTATCCCGGTGGAATCTGAGAGCAGCCTCCGGGAGCAACGTGACTAAAGCCTGGCACATGTTTGCTCTCTCGCCTTCTCCCCGGGGAGGGGCGTGGAGAGCAGATTATATATAGCAGAGTGTGTGTCTCGGGGTATTTATGCTCCAGGAGGCAAGGTCACGGCAAGGAGCACAGCAGGGAGGGGCTCCGGGCAACCTCCGCTCCCGGGAAGTCCGTTCCCAAAAAAAGAGACAAGTCTCCTGGCTGGAGGAAGTTTGGCTGCACCAGGGTGTTTGGGGTGGGTACAGGGTGGGCAGTGAGGTCTCGGTTCTTTGTTGTGGAGGAGGCAGGTGCAGGGATCACATCACACCCCCGGGTTGTTTGGAGCGTCACCTCTGCAGGCACAGCTGTGCCCGGGGGGGTTCCCACACCCCTACAAAGGCTTCAGAGGTCCCGAAAGTGCAAAAAGAACGGGCAAGTTTGGAGCACAAAGCTCTTCAGCCCGGGGATCTGCCCCCACACCCAGCACAACGCTGGGTTTCTGTGAGGATTCCAGAGTTTTAGCCCTGATCTGCCCTTGGATCCGCCCGAAAAACGAGTGCCTGGTTTTGCCCTGTCCTGTCATGCCCCGAGTTTTCCATTTCTAGAAGCACAGACCCCTGAGAGGGACCAGCCCGGGCTGAAAGCACCATTACAAGTGCATTTTGCCACCTGCACTTTGCAGAAAGACCTGAGGCCCCAGCCCTGCCCCTCCCAGGTCAGCTTTCCCAGTGGGAACAGCACATTCCCAGAGCCTCACAAAGGGCTCAGACTCACCCCGGGCTCAGGGGCTCTCAGGATTTAAAACCAAGACCCATTTTAGCCAAACCAACTGCCACCGTGGAGCACTAAGACAGGGATGCTTTCCCGTTTCTCCACTGGTTCCAACAGATCCTGAGAACAAAGGAGCAATTCCCAAGGAATTCAGGCAGCCCAGAGTCACTCCAGCAAGGAAAGGTGCAGATCAAAGGGACATAATCCCAGGGAAAGGCAGGCAGATGCCACCAAGGAGGGGCTTGGGGCAACAGCAGATGAGGGAGGGAAAACCTTCATCCCACCCTCCTCTTCAGCAGCCTGAGAGCAGCGAGCTCAGCCCTGCAGCTCCTCCAGCTCTCCCAGCTCCCTTCATCCTCAACCAGCACAATTCAGCCGTGCCTAAGACACCCCTGGTCTCCCAGACCTGGAAAAACACCTCCTCAAACACCTCCTCCCTCTCCCTCTCTCTCTCTTCAGCTTTTATTTCCTGGTCACTGGAATTCCTGAGCCACACCAGTCAGGAGCTCAGGGTTGACAATTTGTGTCTGCCACCAAAAGCCAACCCCCCTTTTCCAATGAGAGGCACATCAATATTCCATGTCATTCAGGGACAGCTGTTGGGACGAACGGGCCAGGCGTAATTTTGTTTCAAAAACCTGACTGCAGCCTCAAAGTGGCAATTACCATTAGTAAATTGATGGGAAAATGCAATTTGTTTACTAACAAGATCCAGCTGATGGAGTGTGCAGAGCCTACTCTCCAGGATTCTTTAGGGCAGGAATTTGCTGGGGAAAATAAAGATACTTTGTTCCCCCCTCCAAGCCTTTCAAAGGCATCTCCAAGTACTTTGTGAGCATTAGTTAAACTTTATTATCCCTCTGGGGAAGGAGGCAAAAGACACATGGCAAAAATCACTTCAGCACGGAGACAAACCCACATCTGCAGCAGAACTTTGCTGCTGCTTAACACAGTGAAGGAACTGGGTGATGGTTTGAGGGAAAAAAGCCTGTTTTCCATGAATTAGAGCATGATTAATCAGTATCCATGCTAACAACCCCCCATGCAACGCTAGGGAAAGCATGAATCTTGTAGTCAATAATTCCTGCCAGTGCTCTGGGGACACAGGAATGCTTTAAGAGAGGGGGGAAAAAATCCAGCCCCTGGTGACAGCAAACCCATCCCTTCCCAAAGAAAGTGCTTGGGAGCCTGTGGAAAGGGGCCCTGGCTGTGTCACAGGCAGAGGAGGCACTGCCAGCCTCCTGTCACCCATCCTGTCAGCACAGCTCCAGGACCATGGAACCATCTCCCAGTCCAGGTGGGCAGAGTCATTGCTTCCCTTGGGCCTAAAAAAACCTGAGGAATGGGAAGGTTCAGTGACCCACCCATGGCCACAGCAGCCAGTGGCAGAGCAGGGAAACGAGCCCCATTTTCCTGGCTGAACCACCCAGGAAAACCTTCCTTTTCCCTCCGTGGCCAGCAAGGAAAAGGGCTCCTGGAATCCTGATTTAACTGGGATCAGATTCAGAGCCACGGCCTCGGTCATTACCAGGGCTGTCATGGCCATATGCTGCTCTCTCCAGAGGTCAATTAGATCCAGGGCAGACAGTGGGGCTGGGAAGGACAGATCCAGGCTGTTCCCACTGTGCCAGGACCAATTTATGGGATTTGAGCATTTGATATGTGGCAGATGCTGCTCTGGCTACAATTAACATGGCAACACCGAGCCCAACGCTGCGGAGCAGGGAGGAGCGAGCTGCAAATCCCAGTTCTGCTGTTTCCCTGGAATACTAACGAGCTGTGCTCTGGCACCGCTCCTAAAGGTCCTGGGAGATGGGCTGCTGCTCCAGCCAGGAATCTGGAGCCTCTGGAGCACAGGAGGCTGCCTCAGGCAAGGTCCACACGGCCAACAGATCTCCCCCTTTCCACGGAAATGAGATGTTTATGCCACCCCCTGTCCCTGCCAGCATCCAGAGCCACAGGGAGCCTTTCCAGCTGAACTGGCACCTTGAGGAGCATCATCACAGCCCGGCCAACTCGACTGTTCATTTATCCAACAGATCCAGGAGCCACTCCCCAAACTCCCTGGGATCCCAGTGCCTCCCATAACCAGCACCTCACAAGCGTTTCCATGGTTTCCAGAGCACCACCCAACACTGGGTTCACCCTGCTGGGTGGGAGACGGCTGCTCCCTTCCAGAACCATCCCAGCCCTCCCATCCCGTGCACACAGACCCATCCAGGGCACGGATGGATCAGCACACACACATCCAACCCTGAGGAGCTGCAGCTCCTCTCCCAGTGCCATGACGACAGCAGGCGAAGCTTCCCGGGAACCATCTCCATGTCTGCTGGGTTTAGTGTGCTACAGAAAACTCAGAAGTCAAGGGGGAGCCTCTGTGGCTCCACTTCCCTCTCTCCCCTCCCCTCCCTGAATTTTTCTAGCCCCAAATGTACTTGTTTGACTAATACCACCCACGTTTGGCCCCACTAACACGGGCCACGGCCCCACCCCGATCCCGATCCAAACACAGGCTGGGGAGCACCAGGACAGCCAAGACCCAGCTCCTCATTCCAACCCTCCAAACTGCTGTCCCAGAGACCAGTTGCTGTTCTTGGGGTGCTCCTGATCCTCTCCAGACCCATCCCTGCCTGTGCTCACACCAGCTGCTCACGAGCCTGTTTAAAGGCGAGGCCGAGCCGTTGCCAGACTCGGATAATGGACCCACGGGAATTTCTCCAGTGGATTGCACAAAATGGTTGTTTGTTTGATTTGTCTGTGAAAAAGTTCATCTCAGAGGCAAGTCATTTTGACAGACTCTTGCTGGCACAGCCCCGTGGCTGTGCTGAGAGCTGTTTTCTCCTCCTCCCACTCCAAGGCTCCCAAGGCAGAACTCCCGGGACACAGCCAAGAGACTCACCCACCCCTCCTTGTCCGGCTCTGCTCCAGGAGCCAAACGTCAAACAACCCCCCAGAAGACTCGTCACAAAGTTTAAAGGTACCCCTGAAATCATTTCCACGCGGTCCAAACCCATCTGAGTTCCAATTCCCACATCACCAGGGCACCAGGACCATCTCCCAGACACAGCCCAGGATGAGCAGCTGCTCGTGGTGAGTCAGTGGAGCCACCTCAGCTCAGAGCTCTGTCACAGCAGCCCTTTTTGGGCACTCAAAGACTCACCCAAGCCCAGAGAACCGTGGCAGAGAGGTGGAGGGATTTACTGGGAAATCCTGGATGCCTATCCAAGGGTGAGGAGGTCACAGCTGAACTTTTCTCACCCCCTTCCCAGCCCCTCAGGATACCGTGGGCTCCTTCTGGCAGCAATTTCTTCCTAATACACATCCCATATAATCTCATTACCAGCTTAGTGTCGCCTTGGTTCCTCCCTTTGCCCAAATATTTCACAGCCAAGTGCTCCCAAAGTTCCACTGTCCTGATCCAGGGCCTCAAATCCCTGCCAGGCTCTGACTACCCAGACAGCTACAACAAAAAAACCCACCCAAAACACAAAAAAAAACCCCGAAAAAGGCTAATTTCCTCTGAGCAACAACTGTCCCTAAGAGGCCAGGGATGGAACTCCAAAGAATCCCACCAATTTCCATTTCTTCAGGGCTTCTAATGGCACCACAGATCAAAGCCTGATTAAATTCATTATCCTGCTTCCTGGGCAAGGCTTTGAGCACTTGGAACATCCTTTGACTCCGTGCTGAACTACATTTGGAAGCTTTCACTCCAGCCAGGCAAGCCAGGAATGCAAGTCTGATCTTTTTTTGGTGTGTTATTTGTTTCTGAAAAAAAAAAAAAAAAGCCCAAATCCCTTTCACTCTCTAGGAAACATCTACTAATCCACTGGAGAAATAGGTGTGTCTGAGCCCTAAAAGTGGATTAATTCAGGAAGGGATGAGGCTTCTGGATTCTCTGACCACCTAGAACAGCATCCAGCACCCACATCCAGCAATCAATCCTCCTCTCCAGCACGAATTTGTGCCTGACATCACAGAATATTCCAGAGAAAACGTAAAGATGGTCTTAGGAATTGCCAAAGGAGGTGGATTAGAGCTGAGCCAGCACAGACATTCCCAAGGGACCCTCTCCCACCTCCCTCCTGAAACCAGCTCCCACAGGAACGGAGGCCAAGAGCACAGGCATGGCCTGAGTCCTGGAAGCTGAAGCCTGGAATCAAAGGGAGACAAGGCTGGACAGATGGAGCCAAAAGGCCCTTTTTTGGGGATGGAGATAACACACATAATTACCCAAGTGAGGAGCAGGGGTGTCCCCTCCGGGCTGTGACACCAGGGGGTCCCTCACTGTGACAGCCACAGGGTGGGAAGGCAGGGGCTGGAACAGGGCTGTGGGTGACAAATTATTGCCCTCAGGGTCCCCCCAGTGCCACAGAGGGGGGGGGGACAGGGCAACAGCACCCGAACCAGCATCGCTCCCCCTCCCCAGCCCGGTGGGAAGAGGTGCTGGGAAAGGTGCCGGGGGTGGGTGTGTGGGGGCAAAGGGACGTGTCTGGGAGGGTCCCCTGAGCCCAAAGTGCCTGGGGACGGGGATGCTCCGGGCAAGGAGCCCCAGGAGAAAGGGCACCACCGGGAACAGCCCCCAGGGAGGGGCTGGATCAGGGATGGCATGGAAAGGGGGGGAAAGGCTGGGATTTAGGGGGAGAGAGGGTGTGGGGGGCAAAAACTGCTGTGGGGAGGGAGGGAGGGGTGGGAAAAGGCCCAGGCTGAGGGGGAGAGGGGAAGGGTCTGAGCTGGGGGGGCTTGGGCACCTGCTGAGGGGCAGGGCCGGGTGTGAGGGGGACAAGGGGGATCGGGGAGATGGGGGGGACGAAGGGGATAAGGGGCAAGGCCGGGTGTGAGGGGGCGAGGCCCCGTTCCCGGGGGTCAGTGCCGGGCCCGTTCCCGGCTCTGAGGGGGGAATGGGGGGAGTGTGTCTGTGTCTGTGTGTGTGTGTGGGGGGGGTGCCCGCGCCGCCCGCTCTCACCGTGTGGTTCGCCCCCCACATGAGGACGCTGAGCAGCGGCTCCGAGGCCCGGAACAGCTTCACCTTCTGGCACACGAAGTGCTTCTTCTTGGTCTTGGTCTTGCTGGCGCTGAGGGCCGAGCCCAGCGCGGCCCCGCCGCCCCCCGCCGTCCCCGCGGCCCCCGCGCAGTTCGCGGCCATGGCGGACCCGACCGACCCCCTCCCCGCGCCCCCCTACCAGCGCCTCCGCATGGTTCCGCCCGGCCCGGCGCACACCCCCCCCGCGCCCCGGCTCGCAGTGGTACCGCCCGGCCGCGGCAGCCCCGGCCCGCTGAGCTCCCCCTGTGCCGTCCCCCCGCCCTCCCCCCCCCCGCCGCCGCGGTGGTGCGGTCCTTGTGTGTCCTCCCTCCCCCCCCCCCCCCGCCCCCGCGGTTGGTTCGCTCCGCCGCGGCGGCAGAGCCCGCTCCGGCCCCGCGCTGAGGAGGCGCCAAGATGGCGGCGCGCGGAGGGGGCGGGCGGCGGGAGGTGCCATGGCCGCCCCCGCGGGCGGGAGGGGGGACAAAGCCGCGGGTAATGGCGGCGAGGTGGCTGCGGATCGGCCCGCGGGTGGAACGCGGAGAACCGCGGCACGCGTTGGGCTGAGACGCGGGATAACGGAGAGCGACAACGGAGGGAAAGGGACGGAGCTGGGGGGGGAAGAGCATCCTTCCCTCCTCCTCTTCGCGGAGATGGTCTCGCCCAGCCGGTGTGAGGCGCCCGCCCAGGCCACGCCCCCGCTGCCAGCGGGCCAATCAGCGGCGAGGCGGCTGGAATTATGAATGGGCTGTTTCCCACGTCACGCGCCGCCGTTTAAAGGGCCAGAGCGCGGCCGGGGCCGCCCTGGGACCCCCCGGGACAGACCCCTCGTGGGGCCCACCCGCGACCCCTCCGGCACCGCGAGGGTCCTCAGGGATGGATACACCCGAGAAGGGGCTCCCACAGCCTCCCACACCTTCACCAAACCTTCCCCCCACAGCGAATTCACCCCCCCGCCCCTCCCACCCCACCCGAGAGCCACAAAGAAGCTTTAACAAATGACAGTGGAGTTTCTTAATTAAAAAGACAAAATAAATCTACACCGCTGTACATATACACATTACTTACAGTACAAAATCCCAGAGAAATGTCTGCTGTACCCAGCTACGCTCTGCTCATTTCCCTTCCCCTGGAAGCAGCTTCTTTTGGGTCAAATACCAGTGAAATCTGTGAGCAACCAAATAATGGCCACAGATCCTCTGAGACTGGCCTAACATCACACCCTGCCCACCTGAAATGGTGACAGGATGGACAGGGCTCGTGTGGTTTTATCAAATTCCACGAAATTAACTCACATGTCAATTGGTTCTGCTCAGATTTTTAAGGATTAATAAAAATGGCTGTTTAGCTCTGGCCTATAAAGAGCTGGGTAGCAGGAAGCAGTGACCACCTGGCACAATTTGGTAACAATGTACAAAAGTGACACCAGTCAAGGTGGGGAGAGGGAAGGAAAAGCTCTGGCAAGACCTTAAAAATGGACCACAGAGGCTCACGAGTTCCCCAGCCAAGGTCCCACCCACTACAAAAGTACTCCCAGTGCCCCCAGTCCTGAGCACGCCCTGGGCTCAGCACAGAGATCCAGCACCTCTGGGAGCTGGGAAGTGTTCCTGGAGAGAGCAGTGAGGCTGTGCTGGAGGGCTCTCACCTCTGGGAACAAGAGTCCATTTAACTGCTGCACAGGAGCAGAGGGAGAGCAAAACAAGCCTCATCTCTGCATAAAGTTCTTTTCCAAGGCAGCAGGAGTTCTCTGCAGGGAGTGGATGTTCCTCTTCACACGGTCCTCCAGGGTGGAAGTGGAGGCACTTTCCAGCTTTAAACGGCTGCAGGGAATTGGAACAGAGGGAAAAAAATCAGACTTTTTAAACTGGAAGAGAGGAGGTTTAGATTAGACATTGGATACTGGGGAAAAATTCCTCCCTCTGAGGGTGGTGAGGGGCTGGAATGGAATTCCCAGAGAAGCTGTGGCTGCCCCATCCCTGGGAGTGTCCAAGGCCAGGCTGGAGCAAACTGGGATAGTGGAAGGTGTCCCTGCCAGTGGCACTGGATGGGCTTTAAGGTCCCTCCCAACCCAAACCAAACCATCTCATGGTTCTGTGGTCTGCACTTAAGAACATGTTCTCCTCTGATTAATCTCCAGAGCCTGCAGAATAAAACTGCCACGGGATCTTTCCTGCACCCTCTGGAAGGTGTCACTCCAAATCCTTTTGCCTGCCATGGCTACAAGGGCTAAGTTACCACTAAGTGTGTTTAGGCACTTGCAGGCCTAAGAGTGTTTCAAGCACTTAAACCCAGAGAATTTCTAAATTATCTGCATGTGAAACACCACCTGGAGGCTGGTGGTTTTTTATTTCTACAGGTTGGCAAAACACAGCTGGTTGCTGTTTCCTGAGTCTGACTGTCGAGGCCATCCCAGAAATAAGCACCTTTCGGGCTAAGAGGAGAATTTGGGAACAGCAGATGTCACCAGTTCTACTGTAAAACACAGTGGAGATGGATCCTACACCATGATCTGGAACATCCCAAAGCTCGAGGCCCTCACTCAGAAGCTGTGGCCTGGATTTCCCCCGAAAGAGAAGGAGGGAAAAGGCTCACTGGAAGAACTTTCCATCCCTGGCGTCGAGTTTCTCCAGCTCCCGCTCCAGCTCCTCCTCCTTCCTGTGTTTCCTGAGGTTGTTTGCTCTCTCCTCTTCCCTCCACTTGGCATTTTCCATCATTTCCTGCCGTTTACGCTCCAGTTCCTCTGGAGAGAGCTTTCTGTTTGGGTAGAAACCACCACTGCTGTCACCCAACAGCACACCGGGCCCCGTTCCCCTCGTTTTCCATTCCTTAAGACCATGGGATTGTTAAAGCTGGAAAAGACCTTTAAGGTCATCAAGTCCAACCACCAAAGATGACTTACAATGCCCCAAATTAGGGGTATTTAGCGTGGTTTTCTCTCTGGTGGCCAACCAACAAAGCTTTTAAATATTCAGCTTCATACATCTAAATATTCAGCTTCACCACGGCCCAGCAAGAGCCTCTTTCCTCCCCCTTTTCAGCCTCCCTGTGTTTAACTGACCCGTAAGATGATGCTGTCGAGGTCCTTTTTGCCTGATGGCAGCGAAACAGAACCTCCTAATTAACAGCCCACGGGACAAAGACACCTCACATTCCTTCCTGCCTGGCAGGAGGAACCGGCGACCACAGGGGTGGGTTTTTGGGAAGGTGTCCAAGGTGTCACGTAACAGCCAAGCCCAGGAGCAGCCACTGAGCCCTCGAGGACTCTGTGTCTGACTCTCTGGACACCTGATCTGCTCTGCTGTGGTTCAAACCTGGTTCACAGGCTGCACCCAGCTGGTTCTCAGCCTCCCTCACCTGGTGTAACCCGGGGGGTGCTGGCGCCGGTAGCTCTTTTTGGGGGAAGGGCTCCTGGCTCTCCCCTTCTCCTCCCGACTGCTGTGCCTGCAACCCAAAAAACGCCCCTGTTAGCACAGACCATCACATTTCTGAACATTCCCCGGCTTTATTAGCACATTCTGAAGCCAAGACATCCCCCACAGCTGCAGGGCTGTTACCTGTCCACCCTGCAAACAAATTCTAACGAATCTTAATACACTTTTTATAAATTTACTTTTTTACTCAGTTCTAACTATTTCATCAGCAAACAGTGAATACCTGCTACCTGATTTTATATGAGTTTAAAAAACCAAAATTCTACACCTTTTCTGTATCTATTCTAATTTATAAATTACGAATTCTAATTATAAATTATGAGTCTGAAGAGAACTGGTAGCCCAAATAAAGCAGAGTCACAAGCAATACCCAAAGGGTGTGATTAGAGAGGGTGTCCCAAATGAAGAGTGGGATTGTCCCCTCCAGCTGCTCCCTGGGTGCTCCTGCACAGCTCCTGCTTTCCCACCTTCCCACCCAGCACTGAGCAATAATGTCAGGACACAAAGGTGGCAGGAGATGGAACAGGAGGGATTTTGATGCCAGGGAATTTCCCCCCCCCCCGACTCAGGTCACCCACACTCACTGTTTGCTGTGTTTGGAAGGAGATCCCGAGCCCCTGGAGCCGGACTGCTCCGAGTTCCTCTTGCTGGAATGTCTCTGGGGGGAGCGGGAGGAGCTGCGGGAGCGATCCCGGTGCCTGTGGGGAGCCCTGTCCTGGCCAGGCCCTGGGGAGCTGCGGGACCTGTGGCTCTGCTCCGAGTCTCTCACCTGCAATTCAGAAGGATCTCGTAGGAGAACAGTGGAAGGCCCCAGAGGAGACCTCAGCCAGGAGGAGCACAGGGAGGGGTGCACGTGTGGTTGGGGTTTATTTATGTCCCTCCCCAGGTTCCTGTTCACCCCTCGCCTAAAAAAAATTGTGTCTAAAAATGTTATTTCTGCCTGATGTTCAGAAAACTAAACAAGGCAGCCGAGCTGAGTGCTGGGAGAGACGAGGGAAGAAACTCCTCCCTGTGAGGGTGGGGAGGTGTTGGAATGGATTTCCCAGAGAAGCTGTGGCTGCCCCATCCCTGGAAGTGTCCAAGGCCAGGTTGGACAGGGCTTGGAGCAACCTGGGATAGTGGGAGGTGTCCCTGCCCCTGGCAGGGGTTGGAATTAAATGATCTTTAAGGTCCCTTCCAACCCAAACCATTCCACGATTCCACAAGTAACACTCTGAGAAGAGAAACTAAACAAACCTTAACTC